TTATATGCAATGTGGAATTACGCTATAGATATTAAAGCCTGTGGCTCTTATTAACATATAGGGGATCCACATAAAGTAGAATTGTGACCAGTTGAATAGAGACCAACATGGTGCAACAGACAGAAAGTCATGGATTTTATACATTTGCCCAGGGGTGGGATTCAAATTTTTTAACAACCGGTTCTGTGGGTGTGGCTTAGTTGGTGGACATGGCCTGGTGGTCATGTGACTGGCTGGGTGTGGCCAACTCAATATCACTCACATTGAGGCACGCATCTCCTTGCCTGGCCTCTCATGACTGTGGGGATGCTGCAAAAGTCGTAGGTGTGAAAAGTGGCCATAAGTCTCTTTTCAGTGCCATTGTAACTTTGAATGGTCACTCCACACAAGCAAAGTACTAGCAAAGGAGGGGGGGAAAAAAACTCCAGAAAAGTTCCTGAGACAGGAAGTCTAGTCCTGCCAAGAATGTAATAAGGGTTAACGGAGAGGCAGTTTCTGTAAGCAACACCAGAATGTTTCCTTACTGCCTTCCTTACAGGATTAGGCCAGTAATTTCTTCTAACAACCAGTTCTCCGAACTTCTTAGAATGTTAACAACCGGTTCTAGTGAATAGGTGCGAACTGGTAGAATCTCACCCCTGCATTTGCCTCAACAGAGGGTAGTAATTGTATCTTAGAAATGGTTGAGCCATTTCCATACTGAGCAGAATAGAAATCTACTTTACATATACAATCTCACTGTCTTTCCTCTAAGGTGGACTGTCAGATGAGCAATGACTGAATCCTCTGGGGGCACCTCTTTTCTTTTTGTCCTGCCCATGTGCCAGTTGCCACATCCAAGTTCAGATGCAGCTTCTAGAATCTAGCTGTCTATAAAGAGAGGTCAAGATTGCCAGTGAAGGTTGGGGGGGAATGGATGACAAATGGAACACCATCAGGAATTCCTCCTCCTCCTCCTGCCCCTGCTGGTTTCCCATATTTAAAGATAAACACATATATTGTCATTGTCCTCTTCCTGATCAGATTGCCCTGCTTACTTAGCCTACCCTGCGTTACTAGGTTGGAACTTTGGCAGAAGCTACTATGTCTTCCAGAATTTTCTTAGAATGGCTGGAGCTTATTTTGCAGCAGGTGCCTCTCTTTGAGAAACTTGGATGATCCAGGAAATTTGCAATCTGGGCTTCTGCTAGTGGCATCTTCTATTTTCTCCCTGATATTTCTGCTTCATACCATTTAATTTGCATTGGGTTTTTTTCCCATTATTCTTCTGTCCTGACTATACTTTGGAGATCATCTGGAACAGTGGCCAATACGTTTTAAGTCTTGGACCAATATGAGTATAGGATAGCTAAATAAAATAGCTATCACGACTGATAATAGTTTTTCTATTTATGTAAAAGGGCTCAACTTCTTTCTAGCAAAAAGGAAGTTCAATAGGGACATAAACATTAACCTACCTGATGTAGCACATTATATTTGTATTAAAGCTTCAACTGCTGTAGGTGCATAAAGCTAATGTAAACAGTGCTCAAGGGACTGGAACATGTGCTTATTCTTCCATGACTATGTGATCTACCGATGCGGTGAGTATAAAGTGCAAGTGTTTTCTTCTTAACAAACAATAATCTGTGCTAAAGAGCATTATTTATTTCATGTTATAATATTTTATATATGCAATATTCCTCAATAACATTCTGTTAATACTAATTAAATGAAGATTATGTTTTTCCTAACAGCACTGCCTGTTTTGTAACAGATAAGAAGAAATTTGCTGGATTAAAGTTCTACATGATCAATACATTTCCTGTCACATTCTTACTGCTGTATTATAAGGCCAAGCCCCTATAGGGAAAATGGTTATTCCACAACCACAAATTTTATGTATGTATGTATGTATGTATGTATGTATGTATATGTTTTCTTAAGTTTTCGCGGGTATTTATATGTATGGTATTCAGCTTTGTTCAGGTATTTTCCCACGTCATTATAGTTGTGCTTTTAAAGTTGTAGTAACATTTCGGCAGAATCTTATCTGCCATCATCAGGCTTCTGATCTCATCTGCCATCATCAGATGAACACTATACAGAAGCCTGATGATGGCAGATGAGTTTTATTTTTTGGCTTTCTTAGGATGGCTACTATTTTTCTGTCTGTTTTGAAGGCAGTTTTGATGTGATACCTGTGTAGTATCTTACTGATTTTGTCTGTAGTACCTCTTATGTAGGGCAGGACAGCTGTTCCATAGGTCTGTTCATCTTCTAGGTCTCCATTATGTCTCAGTGTGTTTTTGTGGATCAAGCCGGTGATTTTGCAGAAAAATAGCAGCCATCCTAAGAAACCCCAAAGATAAAATTGATGTGAAAAACCAAGGCATATATGAAGTCCCCTGTGCATCATGCCCTGCCACATACATTGGACAGACCAATAGAAGAATAAGTACCCGCCTGGATGAACACAAAAATGCAGTGAAAAAGCTGGAACACACTTCCTCACTAGTACAACACATGAAAGCAACAGGTCATAGCATCGACTTCAATGGCACCAAAACCCTAGCCACTACAGAAAACCCCATGTATGTATGTGTGTAGGGGTATGTATGAAGTAATACTGGTAAATTATTTTACAGAAGATTACTGGTGTGATGATTTAAAAAAGAAATATTCAAAAATAAAAAAAATTCAGGCAACTTTAAAAACATTACTACATAATGCCTCACGTTGAAGCAATTAAAGAATAAAGATTTATCTGAATTTTGCAGTCTAATTTTCAGAATCCATTCTTGACTTTTGCCTGATTAAGGAAATACCCTCATTGCATCTTTTATGATTTATATCATATACATTTTTTACAAAATGAATCTGTTGGCGATCTGCTGATAAACTATCGCTTTGTAATTGTTGGGGTTTTAATCTTTGTATGCCATCCACAGTCACTGTTGTGAAACAGATGGCCCTAGCAATTACTTAAATAAATCAGTCAATGGCACTTAGCATATGGAGTCACTGCAGATTTTACTCTAGTTATTGCTGACTATAGGGGGTAGTGCTCATATCTGTTTCAAAGTCATTGAGCCACTGCTGTCCAAAGACATTTCCATGGTCACGAGATATAACATGAGATTATGGAGTCTTGTTATCTTCCCACCAAAATGATACCTATTTATCTACCTGCATTTGTATGCTTTCAAACTGCTAGCTGCGACGAGGATGGGAGCTTACCCATCACTTGGTACTTGGGTCTCAAACCTAGCCTGCCGGCTTTCTTAGCATATGATACACTCAAAATTTATATTTGGTCTTTTCTATAGAAATTCCAACATAAACTTCTCCCTGACTTTCCCTAGCAGGTAGCTTTGGGTTTTGTAAAAATGTTGAACTGATAATTGCTGAATGTTATCAATAATTACTGTTGTCAATGATTATGAATCCTCAGTGTTATTATATAGTGCAACTTATCAATAGTTTCTCCTTCTCCCCAGCAGGTGGCAGCACTTTGAAAGCCAAACTGTAACCATGGTAACTGTAGGGTGACATTACAGCTGTTCATTCTATAACACATTTGAAATTAGAAATAGAAAGTGCTATATATGTAATATGTGCTCAGATTAACATCTGCAGAAAAATGTTAACTGTTCTAATGCCATCTTGAGAAATATCAGTTCCACTCAGTAAACCATATCAGAAAATTAACTCTGCAGGAAGATTCAAACCACACCTTAATGAGATAAGCTGTAATAACAGAATACAGTCTACTGCAACTCTGTTTTTCTCTCTTATATCCTGTCAAACAAGGAGATACCTGCCTAAGTGTCTTTGAATTCTAACTTTAAAAAAATGTTTCAGTCCTCCTGGTTGATATATTTCTTGCCAATTTCCCTCAAGGTCATTTCCCTGACTTTCTACACCAAATGACAAATCATCATGTGACTGAGGTCCCACTTATTTTCAATTTGCCTCAACCTCTTCTCTGAGAATCCTCTCCATTTATGCAATGGAATATTTTAATACACCTTATGTCTGCAAATTTTAATAAACTTTGCCCCAGAATTTATCTATATCTATATATTTATCTATCTGTGTATATATTAAAAAGGTGAAATCTAACAATTGTATTCTGCTTCTAAATGATTGTTTCCATTCCAGCCAAAATCTCATCATCAAAAAGGGGAGGGAGGAGTTTCAGCCAAAAAGAGAGGGAATAAAGTGTTGTATTACCTTCTTCAACCCAGTACCTCATAATATGCAATATTACACTTTTGAGCAATATTGGCTAATATGCCCCAATTTTGCTCTTATCCTTTATAGGATATAGCGACTTTATAAGGACTTAAAATCTATGAAGACTTTAATCAGGAGACATTAACCAGTTGCTATAATAGTAATTTGACTCTGCAGTTGGATGGTGCAAGTGTCTTCTAGTATGTCTGTCTGCCTGCAGTTCTCCTGCTGGTCAATTCTGCTGGTCTGACTGACTTTCTTGGTAGATTTCTTTCTAACAAGCTGGTGGGAGTCTTCTCTTTAGGCTTTTTTAAAAAAATAGTGAGGACTCTGCTCTGTCACAATTTTTCCCCAAGCTGATGCTCTCCAGAACATTTTGCAGTACAATTCCATTATCCCCAATCAGCTCACTTTTATGACTCAATAGCAGGAGTTAACCTGCAACTGAAAATTAGGGTTACAGAAGGCAGTCCGCAGGGAAAAAGTCTCAGGTGGCCTCTTAATGACTAATTTATTAGGGCATCAGCTTTCATGGATTGTAGAAAAGCTGATGTCATAATAAATCTAAGTCTCCAAGGCGCCACAAGCTTTTCCCGAGCTTTCACAGCAATAAATAGGCACAATTACTTATCATGGTAATCAAGAAGGGAAAGGAATGCACAGCATCAGGGACAGCAGGGGTCAGGTATTTTCCTCGTGACCCCTGAAGCTCTTACTGGCCCTTCTCTGAAATATTTCTTCAGGTAATACTGTACTTTCCCCCCACTTTCTCCTATTCCCAGTGAATGCAAATGACTAGTGTCTACAAGGAATATAAATCCTTCCATTCCCCACTATCCAGTTAGAGCTGAAGAAGCTTCTTGGATGAGAAGCAAAACATCTTTTTTTAAAAAAAAAACAAAACCAGAAAGTCCAGCTGCCTCTTGAAAAAAAGAACCTTTGGGACAACCGTGACCTGGATGACTGAGAATCTCCATAGACATATCCCCAGTGAAATGATGACCCAGAAAGTTTATCGTGTACCATTGTTCCTTGTTTTAGATTGAATGTAACTTTATCAGGTATTCCTTGCCACCTCTTCAGAGTATGCAATTAAATCAGTACCTCCCTAGCACTAGCCCTCTGACGGGATCAGTAGGAGCAAAGAGCAGCCCCAAATTCGCGGGACGCTTCCTTTGGCTCCGCTCTCGCTCCCCCTCCCCTCGCTCAGCAGGCCCAGCTCCAAGTGCGCCACATCTTCCACTCTCTGGGATGGGCGAGGGGGAGGGAGGGGGGAAGGAAAAAAAATGCTTCTCTTAAAGAACATGCCGTATAGCCAATCGCCTTCGAAAGCGCCCGACGGTTACAGCCGCCACCGCCCAATGGGGTGGGTCTTGAGGCGGAGCCTGTGGGGTGTGAGAGCAAAGCGCGGTCGACTAGCGGCGGCCGAGGCACTTCCCTTCTTCGCCGCCGAAACTGTGAGAGCGCCGGGAAAGGCGGAGAAGACCAAAGGGCTATCATGATGCGGCTCCGCAGCCCTGCGCTGCTGAGGGACCTGCTGTGGCTCAGCCAGACCGGCACCGGCGGGCTCAGCTGTTGCCGTCGCTCGGCGCTGAGGTGGCTCCATCCCGCTTGGCCCGGCGTGGCCGGTGGCCGCTTGCCTTTGCGGTTCATGCCCGGGGCTGCCGCCGCCGCCCGCTCCTTGTGCACCAAGTCCGAGGGCATCCTGGAGCAGGCTGGCAAGGGCCCTCCGGCCCAGCAACCGCCGGCACCCACGACGTCCTCCGAGATGCCCGCCTCGGCCCTCAGCCAGAACAGCCACAACGCGGCCGCAAGCAAGGAAGCAGGCGGCTTGGGGGAAAAGTGAGTGGCGGTAGCGAGGGGCGGGCCGGGGCCGTTGGCGGGACCGAGGGCCAGCCCATGGGAGACAGAAGGAAGGATGCTCTGCCGGCTGGTAGTGGGCGCATGCCTGCTGGTGCTGGCGCTTCCTCCTCTTCACATGTGACAGGATGCTGCTGGGTAAATGACAGGACAGGGCTACCCCACATGCGGGGTGCATTTCCAGGAAGGCAGAGCTGAAGATGGGACTGGGAGGTTGCCACGACAACCCTCCATGGCCACGCGGAGTGGGTGGGAGTTTCTTTGCCATCCCCTCCTTCCTTTGATGCATTTTGTCCCAAAGGTGTTTTTTTTCTCAAGAGGCAACTGGACTTTCTGGTTTTCCTTTGAAGACGTTTGGTTTCTCATCCAAGAAGCTTCCTTCAGCTCTGACTGGATGGTGGGGAATGGAAGGATCTCCCAATCCAGTCACAGCTGAAGAAGCTTCAAAGGAAGACCAGAAAGTCTTGTTGCCTCTTGAAAAAAAGCATCTTTGGGACAACTATGACCTGGATGATTTTGAGAATCTTCATATACTTTGATGCATTAATTTTCCTGGAGATTAAGGTCACCCAACAGAGTTCTCATTCTCTATTCAGAGTAAAATTATATGCATGTGTGTGTGTGGGAACATGACTCAGTGGTGCTTTGGGCATCATTGCAGAAAAATGACCATTGGAAGGACCATCTGAGCACTGATTTGGGTGGGTTTTACTTAATCACTGGATAATTCTAGTTAATTTATCTCTTAAGTTACTGGGCAGTGAAATTAGAGTTTGGGAAAGTGTCAGCAATGCTTTAATCTTGCTAGCTTTCATTTTTAAAATTAAATGCTGCTATTTATGTGAGAATGTATATTCGAAATGTGACTTACTTAGAGATTTTATGTCTTTCAGTTAAGGGTCATAAACTGATCTATGAAACAGGCCTGTGAAAGGGTTCTACTATTTTCAGTTTTCACTTATTTCATTGGAAGTGTAGGTAGAAATTCTGCAGTTTATTAAATGAGTACAATTTCCTTTTTTGGTACATATTTATGAAGTGAGATCTGGGGAGGGGGGAAACATTTCTGCCATGCAGTGTGTAAAAGGGAATTCAAGAAATGTTCACCTAAAATACTATGTTGGTGGAGGTTTTTAGAATTTTCCTGCCCAGCATTTATATCTAAGAATTAAAATCTAGGGTACAACTAAATAGTTGTGAAGGATTGTATCTGAAATATTGAATGTAGCTTTTAAAAATTTTCTAGTTGAATTACTCTTTTATTAACAATCTCATTTACAGAAGGTGAATAGTCATGTTAAAAGTGTTCAGAAGTTTTCAATTTTTCTTCCCAGGAAAGCAGTTTATTTCAGTCAATGTTTCTGAACAGAGAAATGTGCATTTTAATTATTTGTCCCTTCATATAAAACCACTGACAATTGACAACATGAATACTTGTGTATTGATCAGAATTTTTTTAGGTAATACAGTTTTAAATTTAAAAGCAAAATTGTTTTTACTACTTTCAGTGAATCTATTGAACTATGATTGCAGCTGCTATAGGTATTTTTTATGAGTCATCTTTAGAATGGTTTTCAGGCAAATCAATGAGCAATGTTATATCTGAGGGCAGTGGGGAAGAAGTTGTAGACTCAGTTACTTCAGTGAAATTAATGATAGCAAATGATTTGCCTGCAGTTTTGGGAATATCATAAGGCTTAAGGAATTATGGTCTTTGATTTGGTAATTAAAATCCTGGATATTCTAGTTCTTTATTCCATAATTCAGATATAAAACTAATAGAACCTTTACTTTTACTTTTTAATTGCTTATAAAATTAGATTGTTAGTTTCTGTTCAAGTGCTGTATCTCTTAAACATTTTAAACTTGTTAGTACCTTGCTGCTGCTAAAGCAGCCAGGCCATTCTGTTTAATACATTTCAGTTATATATATTGCTCAGCAAATCTTGTAAAGAAATTATATTCAAAACACAACTCATTAGTAATCAACTGATTGAGTAATCAGCTGATTGAGAGTACTGTTTTATTGTTTGGTCCAAGCATTCCAATAAAATATTTTCCCTCCTATTTTCAGATTTGGGTTATTCCACAATATCAGTTTTTCATGGCATTTTGGATGAAAGTATACCTAGTAAGCAATTAATGACCAGATGTGTTGGCCGTTTTCGAGGCTGGAATGAAGAGGCTTGTTTGATATTGTTAGCCCTAAAATTTCAGAAGTGTTTTACCACTCAATCATAAGGCAACCTCATATTGTCAAAGAATATTCAATAGACCTTAGCATACCGATAGAGGAGAATATTTGTAGCTCAGGGTTGAAATGAGGAGTCCCTTACTTCTGCCAACCTAGCAGTTTGAAAGCATGTAAAAATGCAAGTAAAAAAATAGGGACCACTTTGGCAGGAAGGTAATAGCATTCCGTGCACCTTCAGCATTTAGTCATGCCGGCCACATGACCACGGAGACATCTTCATCTTTTTTTCTTTTAAATTTTTATTGGTTTTTAAGATGAATATAGACAAACAAAACATAAAAACATCAAGCCATCTTCCATATAACCACGGAGACATCTTCAGACAGCACTGGCTCTTCGGCTTTGTAACAGAGATGAGTGCCGCCCCCTAGAGCCGGAAATGACTAGCACATATGTGTGAGGGGAACCTTTACCTTTAGGGCTCTCTGAGCTTGGTCATTTTCTTACAGACATTTCATTATCCAAATTAAGTAAGAATCAAAACCCAGATAAGCAGAGATTAACACCAAGATTAATGTTAGACCAACAATCAAGAAGCAAACAGTACCCCAAACAAGGAACTGTCAAACAAGCCAACAGTAAGCAGCCTAACCAAAGAGTCATCAAGACCACTCCCAGCAACACTGATAGGGCAAGCCATTAGAATGTAAAATGAGAATAAAACCCACTCTGTACTAGGAACAAATTTCATGGACTTTTTTTTTTGGCTTTTGAAGAAAAAATGCAAGTAGTTTGGTGAAACACAAACACTGCACTCCAGCATAAGAACTTTATGCCATCTGTGAAACATGGTGCTAGTGTCATGGTTTGGGCCTGCTTTGCTGCCTCTGTCCCAGGGTGGCTTTGCCATCATCGGGAACTATGAATTCTAAATTGTCCCAGCCAATTTTACTAGAAAGTGTTAGGCTATTTGTCTGTGAGCGTATACTCAACAGAAAGTGGATCATGTTGCAAGACGACAACACAAAATACACAAGTCGTACAACCAAGGAGTGATCAGTGCTTAAGAAGAAAGTTAATATTTTGGATTGGCCAAGTCAAACTCCTGACCTTATGCTATGAAAGTGTAGAAGGACTTGAAGTAGGCAGTTCATGTGAAGAAACAAACCAACATCCCTGAGTTAAGGTTGTTCAGTTAAAGGAACAGACTAAATTTCTTATGGACAGGCCTGATCAATCATTATTAAAATGTTTAGTTGTAGTTATTGCTGCCCAAGAGGGGGCACACCAGCAAAGATTATTTTTCTAACCTTTAGATGTAACTTTAGAACATTTTCTTCAATAAATAAATGAACAAATGTAATGTTTTTGACTCATTTGTTGGATAGGATTCTCTTTATCTAGTTTCAGAACTTGTATGGAAAGGACATTTTAGATTATATTTATGCAGAAATATTGAAAATTCAAAAGGGTTAACAATTTTTAAGCACTACTATATCTGTCTATTCTGAGTATCTAATAGATCAGAGGTCTCTAAACTTGGCAACTTTAAGACTTATGGACTTCAACTCCCAGAATTCTCCAGCCAGCTATGCTATGCTGGCTGGAGAATTCTGGGAGTTGAAGTCCACAAGTCTTAAAGTTGCCAAGTTTGGGGACACCTGTAATAGATAATAGCAATAGCACTCAAACCTATATACCGCTTTATAGTGCTTTACAGCCCTCTCAGAGCGGTTTATAGAGTCAGTATTTGACACCCCTACTGTATAACATAAGCTTTGCTAATGGCACGAAGAATATTCAGAATAACCATAACATCATCAGCAAATAAGGGTAATTTATATCCATTAATGTGTGTCGCCTCACCTTAATATTTTTAGAGACACTAATAGAAGAAAATCAGGAGGCAAGAGGTATAATTGTCAGGTCCCAATCTAAGTTGATAAATATAGAGATAAATCTACTGGGTGAAGATAAAAATTAGAAATCTAGTGAACAAAAGTTGCCATAAAAAGTCCTAGTTTATGAAAACTATGTACTACTAGCTCTATACAGCAGGTGAAGCTAGGCAGAATCACATCTGATACCTGTACAATTAACACAAGGCCCCTTCAAGGCTATGTGCTTTCCCCACTTCTCCCAATATACCAATGATTGCAACTCAATCAATCCCTCTGTTAAAATACTGAAGTTTGCTGATGACACAACAGTGATTGGTCTCATTCGAGACAACAATGAATCTGCATACAGACAGGAGGTTGTACAACTTGCCTCGTGGTATGACCGGAACAATCTGGAACTGAACACACTCAAAACCATAGAAATAGTGGTAGACTTTAGGAGAAACCCTCCCATACTACCACTTCTTACAATACTAGATAACACAGTATCAACAGTAGAGACCTTTAAATATCTAGGTTCTATCATATCACAAGACCTAAAATGGACACCTAACATCAAAAAGTCATAAAAAAGCACAACAAAGAATGTTCTTTCTGCACCAACTCAAAAAGCTCAAATTGCCCAAGGAGCTGCTGATACAGTTCTATAGAGGAATTATGGAGTCTGTCATCTGCATCTCTATAACTGTCTGGTTTGGTTCTGCAACCAAACAAGATAGACACAGACTTCAACAAATAATTAGAGCTGCAGAAACAAACAATTACTACCAACCTGCCTTTCATCAAGGATCTGTATACTGCACGAGTCCAAAGTAGACTTAAAATATTTAGAGACCCCTCTGTTTCAATTCCTACCATCAAAATGACGCTATAGAGTACTGCACACC